AAAATGTGCAATTAGAAAATGCTTTTTAATTGGTTTTCCAAAGGTATAATTTTAAATAAATCAGAAATAGGCAGTTTTTTTCTATTTTTAGTGAATCTCAATGTTCTCAATAGGTCGGTTGCATTAAATTATTTAACAAATCAGGTGCAAACCATCTTTTTTTGTATATCATCCTGGTTCGTATAGACCCCTTACAAGATATTCAACTTTTATAATATTTTGGAAATGAAGGAAGTGAATCTGTTTTAATTAGGTTTTAAATGGCAAGTTCTGATAAAAATAAGAAGGAAATAAAGCAATGATTGAGATCCTGGCTTATTCCAAATACAGCAAAATGGTAGCCGCTATTCCTTCTCCTTCCATGGGGTCAAAAGTAAGACACAATCCAGCGTAGAAATTAACTCTGGATTGCTCTACTGAGTCCAGACAGCATTTAGTCTCTCTGTTGTTATTATTATGCAATAAAAACAGACGGATTATGTCAGAAAATCGGGTGAAAAGCCCAACAAAATGGGAGTTCCACAAATGTACCAAACGGCTGAAGCTCTCCAAAATACAAACCAATATATTTGAAGGTGTGTACATTTTCCTTAATTATTTCCTTGAGCTGCGCTTTAACGCAGCAGGATAGTGTTGTTCCTAATAGCTTCTTAGTGCCAGATATGTCAGGAAGTGTGATCGGTATCATAATCCAGTTAATCCAATTGGTAAAGACTCTTAATCAAATGTGCTTCAGTGGTCGCCATTATAAGTGCTGTCCGATTAGTGCTGTTTGTAAGGAAAGAAGTTGGAAAAGGAGCCTGTATGCTTCTTATCAGAGCCTCTCACTGGTACAAAGTTGATTCTGGAAGCTTTTCTTTCTATTTGACATTTTTCCTATTTGTGTATTGACCATAAGCTGACAACCAAAACACAGTAATTAATTAGTCACATCTATATACCTACATTAAAGTTGGAAAAAAAATTGTGCTTTTTTATTTTTAGAACTAGTGTATTGTGGAGTTTTATGAAATCAAAGACAAAGGGCTTTTTAAACAGTTTAATTTGTATTTATTCAATTCAATTCAGTTTATTTCTATAGCACCAATTCACAACACATGTCATCTCAAGGCACTTTACAGTTCACCAGATCATCTAGTCAGATTGATTCAAAGTTTTCTATCCAAAGAAAACCAGTTGATTGCATCGACTCATTGACTCTTCAGCAATCCCTCACACTAAGCATGCTTGTAGCGACAGTAGAGAGGAAAAACTCTGTTTTAACAGGAAGAAACCTCCAGCAGAACCAGGCTCAGTGCGAGCGGCCATCTGCTGAGGCCGACTGGGGTTCAAGGAGACGGAAGCAGAGATACAAAAGGCAGCTGTAAAAGGAAACACACAGCCAGGCAGACCAGCTCCCATGTCAGAGGATGAAGAGAGCAAATCCAGTTAGTCACAGTCAGAGAAACAGGACTACACTGGAAAACAGGACAATCTCAAACATCTATAAACAAAGGTGTTGATGGCAGCACAGCTGATATTTCTCTCCAGGATGTTGTCATTTATTTATGCCGAACCATAAATTTATTATTTAGCTCATGTTCATTTATTAGCAAGGGCCTTAATAAATTCTGTATTTGAGGATTTAACTTGAGCTCTTTAATAGTCCTGTTGGTACAATGTGGTTAGATATAATGGGTGCATACTGTTCTGATATTAGTTGTTAGCCACCCCTCACTTGCCTGGCCCCCCCATGAAAACTTCCTGGCTCCACCTCTGGAAATAGGTTCTAAAAAAGAAAAGAAACTCTGAAAAGAGTCATTTTTTAAAACTATTGCACAAATTATTTAACTGTTCGATTATAACACCAGAGGGCGCCAGAGTGTTATGTATAACTTCACCTCATTCAGGTGGCAGGTTTCTAAAATTTAGATATACATGTGTATGATGAATTCAAATGCTTAATAGTACAGATTCAATAGAAAACCACAAAAAACACATTTGGTTGATAAAAATGAGAAACAAATTACATTAGTCCTAGTTATAAGCTTTAACAACATTATTAAATGCAACATTTTAGTTTACTCAGTGATCAAATATTTTGGAAAACTATATATTATATATTTTTTTTGTAGTACTTTATACTGGAAATAA